GTCTCATACTACTTGTCTGACCAACCTGATACTACTTGTCTGATCAAACTCACACTTGTCTTACCAATCTCATACTACTTATCTGACCAGTAACTTCTCAAGTACCACTCTTCTTTCACTTGTCTGACCAGTTACGCCTGCAATGTCACAGTTCTACTACTTGTCTGTCCACTAGCTCCCTCGGTATCACTTTTCTTAAACTTCTTCGAGCAGTAACTCTCCAAATACCACAGTTCTACCTGTCTAGCTAAATGTTTGCGGTACCAGCAATCAAACTAAAGATATCGGTATGCTATCGAAATCATTAGGTCCGTTCGAGTAAGTACGATATCGAAGAAAGTAGAACAATACCGTCGCTGATCGGACCAGCAGAAGGTGGGCCAACGATCGAGTAAACGACCATTGAAAAGTCTAATGAGATGACAAATAGACGTCTGGCCTATTTGCCTCGCCGTAGGCGGTATCGATCGGTCGTTACAGGAAAATTAACGTGACAGGGTTAATTGAAGGGGCAAGATATTCAGATAGGAATTCCGGGAAACGAATTCTAAACACGATATTCTGCGATATCCCTAACTTTATGAATTACGACTTTTCTAACGAAAGCGATGATATTATTAATTTAGGAATTATTTTATCACATTTTGCTAATTACGACCAAAAGTCTATCCCATCGACAAAATTGTATAATTTATTAATAAACCGATGGATATCGTGTAATTTGTTTGCTGAGGCAATGTAAACAGCGTAGGGAAATGCAACGAATTAAATGGAAAATTTACTTCCATGATCGACTTAATGGCTTTACAGTCGTCAGTCATCCATGACAATTTAGCAAGAAGCTCATTTGCCCTGGATGGAGAAGTATCGATTGCCCGTTCACGTGGAATTGACACGTCCGCGACTAATCGAAAGTGTCAAATAGCGAACGTTCCAGGGAACAGCGTCGGAAATGCTGACATTATTAACCCCTTTCTCTTTTACGACGATTAATACACTCTTTTTTAGTTGCAAACACTTCGAATTACTGGAACATTTTTACAAACGTCCATCTACTATAAAGAATATTTTTAAAGATGTTCTACTATGAAGAATATTTTTAAATATTTTTAAAGATGTTCTTCTACTATGAAGAATATTTTTAAATATTTTTAAAGATGTTCTTTTACTAAGAAGAATATTTTTAAATATTTTTAGAGGCGTTCTTTTACTCTGAAGAATATTTTTGAACATTTTTAATTGTTCTTCTACTATGAAGAATATTTTTAAATATTTTTAAAGGCGTTCTTTTACTATGAAGAATGTTTTTGAATATTTTTAATTGTTCTTCTACTATGAAGAATATTTTTAAATATTTTTAAAGGCGTTCTTTTACTATGAAGAATGCTTTTGAACATTTTTAATTGTTCTTCTACTATGAAGAATATTTTTAAATATTTTTAAAGATGTTCTTTTACTAAGAAGAATATTTCTGAACATTTTTAATTGTTCCTCTACTATGAAGAATATTTTTAAATATTTTTAAAGGCGTTCTTTTACTAAGAAGAATATTTATTTTTGAACATTTTTAATTGTTCTTTTACTAAGAAGAATATTTTTAAACATTTTTAATTGTTCTTCTACTGAAACAAAATGTTTGAACATTTTTAATTGTTCTTCTACTAAAACAAAATGTTTGAACATTTTTAAATATTCTTCTACGTAAAACAATGTTAGAAAATGTTTTTAAATATTCATCTAAGGGGAAGAGTTTAATAAATGTTCTTTTATTAACGTCTTCAGAGCCAACCATGTGAAATTAAACATTTCGTATAAGCAAAATATTTGTTCTTCGAAAGTGGGTTGCAGGGATAGTTGTAAATTAGAAACAAAGAAATGCATCGAGACGATTTTTACTTTTAATTGAAGGAAACGTTGGAAGAAGTTGAAACAACTTGCCGCGTCCAATGCTTCTTTAACGGGCTGAAAAGTTTTCTGGAGCAAACCGCTGTTCGGGCTGAAAGTTCCTCGAGTTCTTCCAGTTTTCGAATACAATCCACTTACCGTGCCACCATGTTCTTTGCCATAATCGCCTCTTCGAAAAACGACCGCGATCCCGGCGAAATACGACGCGGTTTTATATCGACGACCCATAGAAATGCTTTCAAATTTATTACCGCCATTATTATGACTTACTATTATAATCTCTGTTACTTTGTACCCTAACGTAAAATTTATCGAAGTATAACCTTCTCTTCAACTTTGGACGTTTTATTACCGAGTGGATTTTCAAAATTGGGAAACGAAGTTTCTTCTCGGGTATAAAAATTGAATTCGAACTTCTACCGCCATTTTAACTTGCGTAACCTATTTGAATAAAATGGATGCGATGTTTGTAACTACCCTAACGAGTCAACGCTAGTTATGAAATAAAAGGGCTAAAAATAATTGAATGTTTTCATTAAACTCGTGTTTCATTTAGCAGGTGACAGGCCAGGTGATCGCGTTGCAAAACAAATGAAGTCATTCTCCGTTGTGTTGGCGGTCAAGCGTCCGTTTTCGTGGATTCGAGTCAAGATTACGCGGAATCTTAAAATTAACCCAACCTCGGAAAATAGTGCATGACGACGATACATAAAAACACACTGCGTATATTTTAAAAATCAGGTTTAACTTCCCTGTTAACTCTCGTAGAATCAACAATGAACGTTTTTAGGTTGACTCAGCGAGTTTCTACTGTTTGTACTTTAAAAAGTTGTAAAATCGCAGGAAAGAGATTTCGGGGCTTTTGGGTGCAATTGACCCACTTTCTATCGTTCGGAAATTAACAATGGACGATCACGTTTGATGTTAGGTTAACTCGAAAATGACCTTTGGAGAAATATCGTGACAAGGTGTGAACTGAAAATATTAAAGCATAATCGCGTGATTTTAGTTCATTTGCTTGACTATCGCTTGCCTCGGAATTAATCGAGCCCTATTTTTAGACACGTCCGCGTAATTGAATGTCAATTCTGTGCTCGTTAACGAGTCTTCAGTTCGAGGCGACGTCAATGGTAATAATTGAATTTTTCACGACAACCTTCGTTTCTTTTTTTGTCAAATCGTTTTTGGCATTTGCAATCGCGAGACCTTTAACATTTCACGTTTCGGTCTGTGAAATCACTTTCAAAGAACGGGGGCGAGCGCTAAACGTGCAAGTAATTATCAAGTGATTAAAACCGAATCACCCTTGGTTAACGCGATGCAAGGAAAATGAATTCTATCGGACAAAGATGCGCGATATTTCCCTGCGTTGGGGGCTGTGCGTCGACACTTTATTACGCAAGCAATTATCGCGTGATTAAGACCGAATACTTGATTCAAAAATTCTTGGCGGGAAATTCAAATCCGATATATCGTTCGAGCGATTAAAATGAATTTCATCGAACGAAGATGCGTGATAATTCCCTGCGTTGGGGGCTCTATGGGTCAACACACTATTATGAGCGATTAAAATGAATTTCATCGAACAAAGATGAGCGATAATTCCCTCCGTTGGGGGCTCTATGGTTCAACACACTATTATGGGCGATTAAAATGAATTTCATCGAACAGAAATGAGCGATAATTCCCTCCGTTGGGGGCTCTATGGGTCAACACATTATTATGAGCGATTAAAATGAATTTCATCGAACAGAGATGAGCGACAATTCCCTGCGTTGAGGGCTCTATGGGTCCACACACTATTATGAGCGATTAAAATGAATTTCATCGAACGAAGATGCGTGATAATTCCCTCCGTTGGGGGCTCTATGGGTCAACACACTATTATGAGCGATTGAAATGAATTTCATCGAACAAATATGAGCGATAATTCCCTCCGTTGGGGGCTCTATGGTTCAACACATTATTATGAGCGATTAAAATGAATTTCATCGAACGAAGATGCGTGATAATTCCCTGCGTTGGGGGCTCTATGGGTCCACACACTATTATGAGCGATTAAAATGAATTTAATTGAACAAAAACGAGCGATAATTCCCTCCGTTGGGGGCTCTATGGGTCAACACACTATTATGAGCAATTAAAATGAATTTCATCGAACAGAGATGAGCGATAATTCCCTGCGTTGGAAGCTTTATGGATCAACACACTATTATGAGCGATTAAAATGAATTTAATCGAACAAAGACATACCATGAACAAAAATACGACACCGTTGAAACGCACCGAACGAAATTAACCAAAATTAAAATAAATAAATCGACGAATCTCGTCGAAATGGCTGAAAAGAAAACACAAACCGAGCGTGCTAATGCAGCCCCTAACATTCCGATCGCGCCGAAGCTCGGTTCAATTAATTAAATGGAGCCGGTTGTTTAAAAGCTTTCAACCAGTCTGCCCGAGCTGAAATGATTCCATAGCAGAGCTTTAAAGCGTCCACACGTACAAGAGGGCTGTCAAACACATTTGGGGAGGGAATAGAATGGAAAGTCCGTGGTGTTGGATACACGAGACGTCGAGTTCTCTTCAAATATTTCGACATGTGAAGAACAGATGGGGCCGCTCTTGTATCAATAAACAATTAGGGGAGCTTTAATACAATCCCGGTGTTCATTGTTCGGAAACATCGGTGAAGGGGTCAATCGTGAGCGATCGATTTCGAGGAGACGAATTCAACAGTCTGGTTAATTAACGACCAAACTATTCGATAAGCTGTTCAAACGGATTAATTAAAAGAAAGACGGTGCGCGAGAGGCAACTTCATTTATTATGAACGAATTCCGATAATTATTGCTAAGTGAAACTTAATGGTCTTCAACCTCTTTCTGCCAGCCAAAGTTACTTCTTGAAGAATATTTTCTAACAGCGTCAGGTTAGGTTAAGATAGAGTAGGGACTAGGTTAACGTCACCTCGAATCCCACATAGGAGACGTATCAGGACAGACTGAATTAAATTAAATTCGGCCGAATCAAGTTCCTTCTAGAAGGTAATCCACTTCGACCGCCAATAACGTTGGTCCTATTTCTGTTACCAGTGTCGGAGTTTGCACAGGAGTTGGGCGCGGCGATGGAGAACCATTCCGCGATGGTACGACGTCTGGTCGACGAGTTTCGCGGAAGATCCGGTGACATGAGGGTCGATTCCGGCGGAATGCGTCGGGTCTGGGAGAGTCTGCTCCGTCAAGTCGAAGCGGACGCGGTGGCACACTTGGATCTGGCTGCGGTACTTCAACAGCAGCTGTCCAGACCCACTTTAGAAGCCAGCTTCCATCGCAAGCTTCAATCCAGAAAGGTATGAGGAAGTCTGCAGTGAAGTCCTTGGTCCATAGGATGAGATACCTCTTAGGTACCTTCAGCCTATTACGGTCTCCTTGCTCGAATATCAAAAAAGTACCTTCCAACTTAACACGTGTTTCCATTTTAAACTAAAGTCTAAGATACCGCGCGGCTCTCTCATCAGAGGTGGACGCTGAAGTGTCATTAGCAATACTAGCGAATAACTGGCAAAAAGGGTGACTCATTGGGATGTCTCCTAGGTGCCCTCAGTCTATTACGGTCTCCTTGCTCGAATATCAAAAAAGTACCTCCCAAGTTAACACATGTTTCCATCGCAAACTTAAGTCTAAGATACCGCGCGGCTCTCTCATCAGAGGTAGACGCTAAAGTGTCATTAGCAATACTAGTGTATAACTGCCAAAAAGGGTGACTCATTGTGATATCTCTTAGGTACCTTCAGCCTATTACGGTCTCCTTGCTCGAATATCAAAAAAGTACCTTCCAAGTTAACACATGTTTCTATCGCAAACTTAAGTCTAAGATACCGCGCGGCTCCCTCATCAGAGGTGGACGCTGAAGTGTCATTAGCAAGACTAGTGTATAACTGCCAACAAGGGTGACTCATTGGGATATCTCTTAGATGCCTTCAGCCTATTACAGTCTCCTTGCTCCGATATCAAAAAAGTACCTTCCAACTTAACACATGTTTCCATCATCCTCCACCTTAAGATACCGCGCGGCTCCCTCATCAGAGGTAGACGCTAAAGTGCCATTAGCAATACTAGCTCATAACTGGCAAAAAGGGTGATAACGCATTAATTCCAGGTGTTCGCGCACCGAGAGGCTTACGAGCAAGTAGTCGCAAAGACGGAGGAGAAACTGCAGCGTGCCCGAGCGGATTACAAGCGCGCTTACGCCGCGCTGCTGACGAGCGACGGTAGTAGCGATCAGGAACTGAAACGCGCTTACTTGGAATCTCACAACGCTTATGTTCTTCAACTGAGGGCCACTAACGCCATCACGGAACGATACCAAGCTCACTGCCTACCCGGTCTACTCGGCGAAATAGCGGAGGTGTACGAGGAGCTGTGCGGGCTGGCTTGCAAATGCGTCGCCGGCATATCGGAAGCGGCGGCGGAGCGGGCTAGCGAGCAGGCGAAGCGTTATCAAGCTGTCGCCAAGGAGGCTCAAGTGATCGCACCGTTGAACGACCTGCAAGTACGTGTCCGTGTGCGATAAGCTTCGCGCCTTGTGTTTCGTTCGAACCAATTACGGGGAAGCGAGGATTTTATCATCCGACGCAGGCGTATTAGGGCGAGCCTGTTGATCGGTGAACCGTGGAAGCCTTCCATTCACGGCATTCATTCAGACGCACTTTGCTCCTGATAAAAGGATCATTATTACTTTTCGCTCTCTATTATACCCAATTGTGTAGTTTAATTAACTTATGCGGAGTAAGCGAGGCCTGACAATGCTTGATTAGACTAGACGTCTAGAACTTTCCCGTGCTACGTCCTTCGAATTCACGTTCCATTGTTGTAATTGGAGTTTCGTGTCCAGGTTCTGGCACGGAGCCTAGCGGCGACGGCGACTCCGTCAAAAAAGCCTTCCAGGCGCCTGTTCGTGGCACCGGGTCCACCGGAACAAGTACCGATCGACAGGATCAATCAAGTACCTCCGCTTAGGGACGAATTGGCGCCGACATCGACCAGCACTTTGCCTCTGATGGAAGATCTACGACGGGAACACGATACTCTGTCGCAAGAAATAAGTCGTCTACAGGACGCCCTGGACGCGCTGGTCCGCATGCAACGCAAGTACGTCACCACATTTAGCCCTGGGGCATTACAGTGCCCCCGTACCGGGTTTGAAAGCTAATAGGGGCCTAGGTGGGACCCAGAGGCCCATGCAATTGACCTATTTTGTTAGGCTAATAAACCTGCCCGTAGTACGGTAGTAAAATCTTTGTTCTATTTATAGAAAGTAATTTTTGAAAGTGAACGAGAGGCAAAAGGGTAGGATCGATGGCGTCCCCAAACGAAAGATTCGGGCGTAAAAATAATTAATAGCGGAGAGAGAATAGTTTTAATTGCCTCTCGTTCCGGTTGTTGGGTCACGTCTCCAAATTCTCAAGTTTCCAAATTCCCATCCCCCCAAATTTCCACGTCCCCAAATTCTCAAGTTTCCAAATTTCCACGTCCCCAAATTCCCATCCCCCCAAATTCTCAAATTTCCAAATTCCCATCCCCCTAAATTCCCACGTCCCCAAATTCCCAAAACCCCCAACTCTCAAATTTCCAACTCCCACATCCCCAAATTCCCCAAACCCCCAACTCTCAAATTCCCAACTCCCACGTCCCCAAATTCCCCAAACCCCCAACAGGCAAAAGGGTAGGATCGTTGGCGTCCCCAAACGAAAGATTCGAGCGTAAAAATAATTAATAGCGGAGAGAGAATAGTTTTAATTGCCTCTCGTTCCGGTTGCCGGGCCACTGGTTCAATTTATTAAAGGTAAACACGTTACAAAAGGAACCACGGCATTCAGAAAGCTTTCTCCGGAGGGGAACACACTCGACCGTGTTGGCGTTTTAATACCCGGGAAAACCGGAATCGTTGAACGGTTGCCCTTCTTTAATTGCAGAAGCGCCGAAAGCAATCTCTACACTAAAGTGGCCGAGCTACAAGAAGATATATCTATGAAGCGTTTCGAGCTGGGGGAGGCGCAACTCTATCTGGCGGCTGTGCAGGCTCAGGTACTTTCATTGATATTTGTCAGAGGTCTTTATTCCTGAAAGATTTGCCCGAAAGAAAGATGAATTGTATGTTTTATAACTAATTCTTTATTTCGATACTTATATGATAAATTTTACCATCGGCCAACTTTAATAAATCGGTTTATGGGTCAGTTTTTGAGGTTATGTGTTCACTGTATGGAGACTTTAGGCAAGTCTTTCGGTAACGTGATTTCATCTGTAATTGTACTAATCCATATTTATTTTTGTTAGATAAATGAGTTAACAAAGTATTTCGTATAACTAGATATAATTTTCTAAGATAAAAACGGATAACTTTAGAAACCTTGCAATTGACAAGTTTGTCACCAGAGCTCTTTACAAGTTTAGCGTAACTTCTGTTAATTAAACGACGTATCGATTGGAAGAACCGAGGCTATTAGCGATCGTCGAAACTGCGTTGAAAAGTTGCTAGTACCACGTATCCCTAGAGTTAAAAAGAGTTCCGGATGTTCCCAGATAAAAAACTTGCCACTTCCTCGCGGAACGAGCTCATTCTTGTTTAGAAAATCCGCGGCAAGTCTCGTTGAAACTTTTTTCATCCACGACAGAGAAGTTTCCGTGTCTCGGTTTTAAGAACACTGTATGTAGAGGGGTGGGAAACGGGTAGGGGGATGACGGAGGGAGAGAAGTCGTTCCGCGACTCGAAATTGGATCTGTGACGGATCTCCAGAAAAAGAAGCACTACAAAGGGGAAAAACCACAGATTTCTCACCTTTGTCAACCATTTTCTTTGCGGGAAACCATTTCCAATCCTTTCGAGAAAGCTGTACTATGTATGCACTTTCGAGGTTGTTAATGTATTATGGATACTTTTTGTGGATCTTTTATTGAAATCTTTTAAGAGATTTTCAAGTGAGGTAGCTGCTTAATCTAACTTGACTTGATGCATTAAGGTTTAACATAACCTAACTGTACACCTAGCGTAGCTACTTAAATCATAGCTTGACCTAACCTGACTATATGAACCACAGTATAATGTAACTTAATTGTTTGAACCTAAGTTTAACCTAACTTTGTTTCTCAAATAGAAGTTCAACCTAACCTGACTACTCGAACTTAAGTGTAATCTAACCTAACTACTTGATGAACAAGTTTGACCTAGCCTGACTACATGAACCTAAGTTTGACCTAACCTGACTACTTGTACTTAAGTTCGAACTAACCTAACTGCTTGAACTTAAGTTTGACCTAACCTGACTGCTTAAACTTAAATTGATCTAACCTAACTACTTGATGAACAAGTTTGACCTAGCCTGACTACTTGAACCTAAGTTTGACCTAACCTTATTACTTGAACTTAAGTTCGAACTAACCTACTGCTTGAACTTAAGTTTGACCTAACCTGACTGCTTAAACTTAAATTTGATCTAACCTAACTAATCGAACTTAAGTTTGACCTAACCTGACTGCTTGAACTTAAGTTTGACCTAACCTAACTACTTGATGAACAAATTCGACCTAACCTGACTACTCAAACTTAAGTTTGACCTAACCTGACTACTTAAACATAAGTTTGACCTAACCTAACTACTTGATGAACAAATTCGACCTAACCTGACTACTCGAACTTAAGTTTGATCTAACCTAACTACTTGATGAACAAGTTCGACCTAACCTGACTACTCGAACTTAGGTTTGACCTAACCTGATTACTTGAACTTAAGTTTCACCTAACCTAACTACTTAATGAACAAATTCGACCTATCCTAACTATTCGAACTTAAGTTTGACCTAACCTGACTACTTAAACTTAAGTTTGACCTAACCTAACAACTTGAACTTAAGTTAGACCTAACCTAACCAAACATAATCACTATTCCTGAAGCTTAACATCAATTTATGCAACTCGAACCAAAATTCCGTCACTCTATCTCCCCAAAGAAGTGTCATACCAACGCAAATCGCATGAAATGTAACCAGAAATGCAGCATCCTATTCCCCAGCCAGCGTCAGCAGGCAATTAAGCATTCGTACAGCCGTGTATCAGCGTGTCAGCGAATCCATTATCCGCATCGAACGAAATGGTTGGCTAAGTGGCTGGAAACGGGAGAAGGAAGGAAAATCCGTGACACTCGATATGTCGAACAGAAACGGCTGCGAAGAAAAGTGAAGTGCGAAGGAAAAAAGAAGACGAGGAAAGAAGTCGGTGAGCATCGGTCGTGCTCGACTCGAGAGGTCGAAATCGAGCCGATTAAAATTAGCACGAGCCATTGTTCCCATCCACGGTTGCCAGACAACTGCACAGTGCGCCAGCTTTCTTACAGTCGTGCCGTCGTCGCGCGTTTTTTCTCCGCTTTCGGACATCGTCCAAAAATTTCGCGGGTGAGAAGAAGAAAAACCGGAAACAGAGGGAATTACCCAGAGGGTAATTGATACGGCGTGAGTAAATCTACGACCCGATTGCTCGTTGCTGCGATTAATTCGTCCTCGAATCGGCATTTGCCGCTGTTATTGTTTCTTGTTGACTGAAGATGCTAAATGTGTGTACGTTCGTGCTGACGGGCTCACTCGTGTGGATTTTGGATACTCTCAGATAGGGCTGTCGGAGGTAATCGTTTCAGAGGGTTAAATGCTAATTAGGGGAATCTGCGGATTGTTCAAAGCGGAGGTATCAGAACAGTAGATAGGTTTCGAAGCTACTGCTGTTGCAATAGTATGATTTGCAGAAAGCTCTCGGAACTTTTGAAAGTCTTAAATGTCTGGAAAGTCTTGAAAGTCTGAAAGGTTTGAAAGGTTTGAAAGGTTTGAAAGATTTAAAAGGTTTGAATGGTTTGAAAGATTTAAAAGGTTTGATAGGTTTGAAAGGTTTGAAAGTCTTGAATGTCTTGAAAATCTTGAATGTCTTGAAAGTCTTAAATGTCTTGAAAGTCTTGAATATTTTGAAATGATTGAAATGATTGAAAGTCTTGAATGTCTTGAAATGATTGAAATGATTGAGAGTCTTTAAAGGTTTGCAAGGTTTGTAAGGTTTGAAGGATTTGAAAGTCTTGAAAGTCTTGAAAGTCTTGAAAGTCTTGAAAGTCTTGAAAGTCTTAAAAGTTTTGAAACTCTTGAAAGTCTTGAAAGTCTTGACAGTCTTGAAAGTCTTGAAAGTCTTGAAAGTCTTGAAAGGTTTGAATTCCTTTGAAAGTCCTAAATATCTATAAAGCTCCTGAAAGTCTTGAGAGTCCTGAACGTTTTGAAAGTTAAAAAAGGTTTAAAAGCTTTGAAACCCTGGAACCACAAAAAGTGTCTTTAAAAATGAAGACAGAGGCTGATATTCGTCAGCGATTTTAAAGCACGCTACTTGGAAATGAAGGTTTTCGGCGTCGCCACTCGTTCGCTGACATCAAGAGGCTGAATGAAGTAGGCAAAGGTCGAAAGTTCGAAAACGTGTCCGTGTTAAAAACAAGTAAATACGATGCCTTTCCGTGACGTTAAAATAACATGGAATTCGACGAACGTTCGGTCTGAAAAACGTATTAAAAAACGGAAACGTGTCCGTTCGTAATATCGCTCGCTTTTATCAAAGCCCGAACAGTTTGACACTCGTGTGTCGATATTTGAAGCGGGAATAAAGCCACGATCAAAATTTTTCGACTGGTGCCGTAAGAAACTTTGAAAACTTTTGTATCTTTGTAACAAAATGGTAGAAACAAAAGTTCTAACACTATCATTCTGTTGTCGTTCTATAGTAATTTTCATTGTAACATTTCAACTTCTATTTTTACTGGAAATATTGCTAACTTAAATTCAATCTTAGCCTTCTGTACGAGGAAGTAAAACATTGTTTGAAACTAAGGATGGAAATTGCATCTACTTCAATGTAATTGTTTAGTTAGAGCTAACCTAATCTAACCTAGACCTTACTGTCATTGATTCCGTACCGAAGCAATAAGTTTAACTCGAAGTTAAATTAACTGAGAGTTAGATCTAGCTTCAGGTATGGACTTCACTTTGTTACGAACATAACCTCAATTCGGGAGTGATGCGTAATTGTCAAACTTTCGTAACTACAAGTTCTTAAATTTTTGATGTTCAGAATTCTCATTTTAGCAAATCCCTAGATTCTAAAATTTAATACCTACTCTTCAAATTCCACAATTTCCTGCTATCTAAATCCCCAAATTCTGAGGTATTGAAATAATTAAATCTTTAAATTCCATAATTTCCTGCTACCTAAATCCCCAAATTCTGAATTCTTAAATCCTCAAACCCCCTTAAATCCCTAAATCCCCAAATCTGTGCATCTCCACATCCCTAACCCTACATCTGCAAATCCCGAAATTTACAAATGGCCCGCAGGCCCTTACAGGCACTTAATCCGCCCGTCACAGATTCAGATGTAATCCAATTCATGTTTAGCCAAGTCGAAACCCAACCTCCGTTACCCTACACAACTCCCCAACATCAAAGCGTGTCAGTAGGAAAATATAAAAATCTTCCGTGAACCTTTAATCGATAGAAAAAGAAGGAAACTGACAAAAGAGAATAAAAGAAACGTAATCAGCCAGTCATCCGTAACGTCGATGCTAGAGACGTGAATCGCGGACGACGGATTAAAAGGAGGGAAAAAAACATAGGACAGGATCAATTTTTTCATTCGAGCGGGCATCAATTGGAGAGACAGACTACGTGAACCCGTGCACCTCTTCAATAATATTGATTTGCATACGACTTTCAAGTATGTGGATGTAGCCCGCGCATCGAATGCAGTGTTCTCGTCGAGGACGATTGGCCCGATTCGAGCGTTCCACTCGAGCGTTCGCGGAATTCCTGATCACGACGTGTCCTGATCCTTTCGGTCCACTTGCCAAGAATTTCGAATTCCGCGAATTCGAGTCGATACTTGAAATATGTCGGAACTTCGATTATTGGGATTCGCGGCACTCTGTCGTCGAAAACCGGGGAAATTCACCGTTGAATTTTTCTCAAATATTTTGACCGGTAAGGTGGCGAGGGTGTGGTTCTTACGGTTG